ATAAAGAACAAAAAAAAAACAAAAAGAAAAGAGAGAGAAAAAGAGAGAAAGAAAGAAAAGAAAAGGAGGAGGGGAGAGGAGGGGAGGAGAGGGGAGGGAAAAGATAAATACTTCTCCAGGGGAGGGGGCAGGGAGGAGTGGGGAGGGGAGGGGAAGGGGGGAGGGTAGAGAAGGGAAGGGAGGGGAGGGGCGAAGGCAGGGGAGGGAAGGGGAGGGAAGGGATGGGGGGGAAGGCAGGGGAGGGGAGGAGAGGGGGGGAAAAAAGATAAATACTTCTCCAGGACAGCTGTAGGGAGCTTTAAAGCCCTTCAGCCAAACCCCTCCCCTCCCCAATCCCCTTTTCAGTCAGACCTGTTCCGGTCTGTGGCAGGTTCCTTCTCCAAACTCAGGATCAATCAATGTCACCTCTCCCAAGAGGCCACCCCTGACCTCCCTGGCTAAAGTTACTCCCCATCACAGTACCCGGTTTCATTGTCCTTTAAATGCTTATCATGCTGAGACCCTACATGTCTCTCTTTTTTTTTTCTTTAAATCACTCCTGCTGTGCCACCTACATGTTTCTCTTTAGTTTTCTTTCTCCTTCCCTCCTTCCTTCCTTCCCTCCTTCCTTCCTTCCTTCCTTCCTTCCTTCCTTCCTTCCTTCCTTCCTTCCTTCCCTGCCTCCCTCCCTCCCTCCCTCCATCCTTCCCTCCCACCCTTCTTCCCTCCTTCCCTCCTTTTTGAGGAAATCTCACTCTGTCACCCAGGCTGGAATGCAGTGGCACAATCTCAGCTCACTATAACCTCTGCCTCCTGGGTTCAAGTATTCAATTCTCCTGCCTCAGCCTCCTGAGTAGCTGGGATTACAGGCACATGCCACCATATCCAGGTAATTTTTGTATTTTTAGTAGAGACGGGGTTTTGCCATGTTAGGTAGGTCTCGAACTTGTGGCCTCAAGCGATCTGCCCACCTCGACCTCCCAAAGTGCTGGGATTATAGGCATGAGCCACCATGCCCGGTCTGACGGCATCCGGTTTTATTAGCTTTTGAATACTTATCACATGCTAGGATCCTACATGTGCCAGGCATGGTGGCTCACGCCTGTAATCCCAGCACTTTGGGAGGCTGAGGCAGGTGGATCATGAGGTCAGAAGTTCAAGGCCAGCTTGGCCAAGATGATGAAACCCCATCTCTACTAAAAATACAATAATTAGCCGGGCGTGGTGGTAGATGCCTATAATCCCAGCTACTTGGGAAGCTGAGGCAGGAGAATTGCTTGAACCCGGGAGGCGGAGGTTGCAGTGAGCCAAGGTTGCGCCATTGCACTCCAGCCTGGGTGATAGAGTGAGACTCCATCTCAAAAAAAAAAAAAAAAAAAAAAAAAAAGCCGGGCGCTGTGGCTCACGCCTGTAATCCCAGCTCTTAGGGAGGCAGAGGTGGGAGGATAGCTTGAGCCCAGGAGTCCGAGACCTGCCTGGGCAATATAGCGAGACCCCGTTCTACACAAAAAGGAAAAAAACAAAAAGACCTAACGTGGGGAGAAATGCCAGATGTAGGTGATGGGGGATGGAGGCAGCAAACCACATTGCCATGTGTGTGCCTATGCAACAATCCTGCATGATCTGCACACGTACCCCAGAACCTAAAGTACAATAAGAAAACAAACAAACAAAAACCTTAAGATCCCACATGTTTCTCTTTTTAGTTTTCACCGGCCCCTGCTAGATGAGGGCAGGGTGAGGGGCTCAGACCCCAGCCCAGAGCAGGACTGGGTACATAGCAGGTGCTCAATAAATGAGAGAATGGAACAGGGAATCCAAAACAGGGGGAAGGCCTGGGATCAGGTCCCCCAGGGACAGCCTTTTCCAAACTCTGGGAATTCACAAGGCAACCACGCAGCTTTAGCCAAAATCGGTCGACCATCTGTTGTGTTTCTTATGTAAGATATTTCCCCCAAGTTGACTCACTTTTGAATTAAGTAATTTTATTTTAAGAAGAGACTTTACATCAATACCCTAACGGCATACCAGTTTCACCTGCCAAAGACTGGAAGTCACTGTCAAAACAGATAACCACAAAAAGGAATAGTATTAAACTTTGTTCAGTCCTTATGAAGTGAGGTAATGAAAACTTGAAGATGAGGCCGGGTGCAGTGGTTAACCCCTGCCATCCCAGCACTTTGGGAGTCCAAGACGGGTGCATCATTTGAGATCAGGAGTTTGAGACCATCCTGGGCAACATGGTGAAACCCCGTCTGTAACTAAAAATACAAAAACTAGCTGGATGTGGTGGCACGCACCTGTGATACCAGCTCCTCAGGAGGCTGAGGCAGGAGAACTGGCTGAACCCAAGAGGTGGAGGTTGCAGTGAGCCGAGATTGCACCACTGCACTCCAGCCGGGGCAACAGAGCGAGACTCTGTCTCAAAAACAAACAAAAAGGAATAGTATTAAGCTCTGTTCGGTCCTTGTGAAGGGAGATAATAAAAACTCTTGAAGATGAATCAGCTCCCGGCTGGGTGCAGTGGCTCACACCTGTAATCCCCGCACTTTGGGAGGCCAAGGTGGGCAGATCACCTGACGTCAGGTGTTCGAGACTAGCCTAGCCAACATGGTGAAATCCTGTCTCTACTAAAAATACAAAAAAATAGGCGGGCGTGGTGGCAAGTGCCTATAATTCCAGCTACTTGGGAGGCTGAGGCAGGAGAATTGCTTGAACCCAGGAGGTAGAGGTTGCAGTGAGCTGAGATCATGCCACTGCACTCCAGCCTGGGTGACAGAGTGAGACTCTGTCTCAAAAAAAAAAAAAAAAAAAAAAAAAAAAAAAAAAAAGATGAATCAGCTCCCAGCAGAGTCTTTTGACTAGAAAGAATGAGAGATAAAGAGACACCACATCCCTCCCTTGAGCTATGGTGATGCCCCAAAGCCACTTGGCTGCCTCTAGCTCTGAGAACCCAGCCTAAGACTGACCTTGACCAAGCTGTCATCCAAGATGGCCACTTCTTCCTTGGGGGCCACTGATGCTGTCTGCTGTGCAAGGTCCCACCATAACAATCCCGGGGCCAGGGCACTGCGCTTGGTAGGGCCTGAGAGGCGGGGAGAAATGGAGAAATCCAGGCATTGAATGAAGGGGTGATGGGGGTTGGAGACCAGACCCTGAGAAGGAAAAAGGAGATCTCTGGACTCTGAAGTCTAATAGGCTCCAGTCCCGCTGAGGGACCCTGGCAAGCCTCTGAGCTTCAATTTCCTCATCTACACAGTGAAGTTGTAATAAAACATCAGTGAGGCCTGGCACAGTGGCTCACATCTATAATCGCACATTGGGTGTTTAAGGTGCTTGGAGTTGCCCAGTAGTTGGAGACCAGCCTAGGCAACATAGCGAGACCCCATCTCTACAAAATATTTAAAAAAATTAGCCAGGCATAGTGGCATGTGGCTCTAGTCTCAGCTACTTGGGAAGCTGAGGCAGGAGGATCGCTTGAGCCCAAGAGGTTGAGGCTGCAGTGAGCTGTCATTGTGCACTTCAGCCTGGTGACAGAGACCCTGTTTCAAAAACAAAACAAAGTAAACAAGAACACTGGAGGTTGGGCACAGTGGCTCACATCTGTAAACCCAGCACTTTTGAAGGCCGATATGGGGGATCACTTGAGGTCAGGAGTTCGAGACCAGCCTGGCCAACATGGTGAAACTCCATTTCTACTAAAAGTACAAAAATTAGCCAGGTGTGTTGGTGGGCGCCTGTAATCCCAGCTACTTGGGAGGCTGAGGCAGGAGAATCGCTTGAACTCGGGAGGCAGAGGTTGCATGAGCCAAGATTGCGCCGTTGCACTCCATCCTGGGAGACAAGAGTGAAACTGCATCTCAAAAAACAAAACAAAACAACAAAGACATTAATGGATGGCAGGGAGGGTCCAGCCTGACAGGATTCCTTTCACTGCTGTATCCCCAGTGCCTAAAATAGCACCCAGCACAGAGGACGACTGGATAAAGTCCTGATGAATGTGAAGTCTGAGACTCAAGAAGTGTGAGCAGGTACTGCTATCACTGCTGATTCCCCCTCTTTGTCTCCTTCTACTTTTCCGTGGAATTTAGAATTCCCTAAGAAGTGTGGAGTCACTGGCAGCCTTAGGAGAAGATATTTCAGCACCAGGGATAGCGCCGCCCGCCCCATCCCGCATCCTCTGCTGAGGACTTAATCTTGTGGGAGATAGAAGTTGGAGGCGATGCCTCAAGTTTCTGCCTCTGCAAAGCAGGGCAAGCTCTGACAGGTGGAGGGTTGTCAAGAAAGCGACATAGCTTTAAAGGATGTAAATGTGAGCCTGGCATATTGGCGCGCGCCTGTAGTCTCAGCTACTCAGAGGATGAGGTGGGAGGATTGCTTTCAGCTCAGGAGTTGAAGGTTGCAGTGAGCCATGGTCGTGCCACTGCACTCCCGCCTGGGTAACAGAGTGAGAGCTGTTTTGTTTTTGTTTTTGTTTTTGTTTTGAGATGCAGTCTCACTCTATTGCCCAGGGTGGAATGCGGTGACCCAATTTCGTCTCACTGAAACCTCCACCTCCCGGGATCAAGCAATTCTCTTACCTCAGCCTCCCAAGTAGCTGGGATTACAGGGGCCAGCCACCATACCCAGCTAATTTTTTTTTTGTATTTTTAGTAGAGACAGGGTTTCACCATGTTGGCCAGCTGGTCTTGAACTCCTGACCTCAGGTGATCCACCTGCCTCGGCCTCCCAAAGTGCTGAGATTACAGGCGTGAGCCACCACGCCCAGCTGACTCCATCTCTTAAAAGAAAAAATATATACACACACACACACATACACACACACACACACACACGTATATATATAGTTATAATACATAAATATAAAATTTCTTTTATGTATATATTTATAATTTATATATATATTTATAATTTATGTATGTATATCTACATCAAGGAAAAGTGTATATATATATGTACACACACACACACACACACACACACACACACACACACTTTTTTTTTCCTTTTTAAAAATATAGGGTGCAGCCCAGGTGCGGTGGCTGACGTCTCTGATCTCAGAACTTTGGGCGGCCGAGGTGAGCAGACCACTTGAGCCCAGGAGTTCGACACACATGGCAAAACTCTATCTCTTCTAAAAATCCAAAATTAGCTGGGCGTGGTGGTGCACACTCGTAATCCCAGCTACTCAGGAGGCTGAGACATGAGAATCTCTTGAACTTGGAAGGTGGAGGTTGTGATGAGTCAAGATCGTGCCATTGCACTCCAGCCTGGGCAACAAGAACAAAACTCCGTCTAAAACCTAACAATAATAATAACATGCAAATGTGTACAGCACGCAGTGGTAGCTCGGCCAATGGGAGTATCCCTTCTCCCCTCCCTGCTGGGTGGAGCCTTGCGGCAGAGAGATGAATGGGGTGACTTCTAAGCCCACAGGCTCTATCTGCCTACCTGTCAGGCAGCTGATGAGGGCTCCACATAGCACAGTGGTCAGTGTGCCCAGGGCACCATAATAGAGATAGGAGATGGCATAGAAGCTGTCAGCTAAGGCGGGTCGGCTGGCGTCCATTCCTGAGCTGGGGGTTGGGAGAGACAGAGTTGAACCTCCTCCTCCTCCTTTATTCCCTGTCTGCACTCAAAAGCTGCTCCCACCTCACTCCCTACTCCCTTCCCCCAATTGCTATGGCCTAGCACACACCTCCATTGCTGTCTGCCCAGACCTGTGCAGTAGCCAATGGTCCTTCCCTCCAGGTATCCCATCCCCACCCCAGATGTCGTCCTCCACACACAGCCAGAGGGCGCATTACTAAAATGTAACTCAGAACACCTCCTGCTGCTGCCCATCACCCTCTGTGGCTCCCTGTCACCCTCAAAATCAAACCAAATTAAACTCTCAGAAGAAGACATAGGGGGGAATCTTCATGACTGCAATTGTTTCTTAGATATGATCAAAAGCAAAAGCCCACCAAGAAAAAAATAAATAAATTGGACTTCATCAAAAATTAAAAATTTCTGGCTGGGTGCGGTGGCTCATGACTGTAATCCCAACACTTTGGGAGGTCAAGGCAGGTGGACCACCTGATGTCAGGAGTTTGAAACCAGCCTGGCCAACATGGTGAAACCCCATCTCTACTAAAAACACAAAAATTAGCTTGGCATGGTGGTGCACACCTGTAGTCCCAGCTACTCAGGAGGCTAAAGTGGGAGAATCCCTTGAACCTGGGTGGTGGAGGTTGCAGTGAACTGAGATCGCATCACTGCACTCCAGCCTACGCAACAGAGTGAGACTCCATAACACACACACACACACACACACACGTGCACACACTTTAAAAATTTCTGTGCATCAAAGATCAAAGGATTCTATCGAGAGAATGAAGACAACCTACAAAATGGGAGAAAATATCACATGCAAATTATATATCTGACAGGGGCTTGTACCCAGAATATATAAAGGTATAAAAATATATAAATTATAACTCTCAACAATAAAAAGACAAATCATTTAATTTAAAACTGGGCAAATGGCATTTTTTTTTTTTTTTTTTTTTTTTAGTTTGAGACCGGGTCTTGCTGTTGTCCCGGTTGGAGTGCAGTGGTGGGATCACGCCTCACTGCAGCCTCAGCCTCCCAGGCTCAAGAGATCCTCCTGCCTCAGCCTCCTGAGTAGCTGAGACTACAAGTGTGCACCACCACGCTCAGCTACGTTTTTCATTTTTATTTTTGTAGAGATGGGGTATTTCTGTGTTGCCCAGGCTGGATGGGCAAAGGTACAAATAGACATTTATCCAAAGAAGATACACCAATGGCCAATACACACATGAAAAGATGCTCAACATCCTTACACATCAGGGAAATGCAAATCATTTGTGATACCACGGTGGTGTCACTTCACACCCACTAGGGTGGAGAAAAAGGAGTATTGGCGAGGACGTGGAAGTTGCTGGTGGGAATATAAAATGATGAAGCCGCTGTGGAAAACAGTCTGGTAGTTCCTCAAAAAGTTAAGCATAGGCCACACATGGTGGCTCAGGCCTGTAATCCCAGCACTTTGAGAGGCTGAGGTGGGCGGATCACTTGAGGTCGGGAGTTCGAGACCAGCCTGACCCACATGGAGAAACCCCCGTCTCCACTAAAAATAGAAAATTAGCTGGGCGTGGTGGCACATGCCTGTAATCCCGGCTACTCAGGAGGCTGAGGCAGGAGAATCGCTTGAACCTGGGAGGTGGAGGTTGCAGTGAGCCGAGATCTCGCCATCACACTCCAGCCTGGGCAACAAGAGCAAAACTCCGTCTAAAAAACGTACGAACTTCCCCTGGCTGCAGATGGCTCCTACCCATCTCTCCCATTAAATGCACCCTAACCTCAGTGTAGCTGGACTGGGACTAAACTGAATGTGGCCTCAGGGCCTTTGCACCTTCAATTCCCTCCACCAGGAATGCATTTTACTAATCAGGCTTCTTATGCAGAGTGCAGGGCATTTAAGTTTCCCTTGAAGATCACACCATCCCAGGCTTGCGTCCCCACTACCAAGTCGACTCACCTGGGGGCCCTGCTGGAGTCGTTAGCAGGGAGGCGAGACGGGTCCAGGAGGCCAGAGGCGTTGGCTGAGAGAGCCACGCAGCGGGCAGCCGACGACGGCAGGACCCTCATGGTCTGCTCGCTAGGTGGGTACAGGGTGGCGCCCAGGGCCACCCACAGCGACAGCGTCAAGCCCGCGGCCAGTCCCGAGAGGACGCCCTGGGGGCGGAGCCGGCGTCAGGGGAAGGGCGGGGCCTGTTCGGCCACGCCCCCTCCCCGCCCCTCGCACTGCCCCCACTCACCGAGGTGTTACAGGCGGGCAGGAACATTCCCAAGATGAAGGCTCCGAGGAGGGGGCCGCTGATGACTCCCATGACCGTGAAGGAGCCCTGGGAGGGTAGGTGGGAGTGGGGCTGAGGGCGGAGCCCTCCCACTCCTCCGGGCCTCAGTTTACCCGCTGGGAAAGCGAGACCTCAACTCCACTGTGGGTCCCAAGGACTCCTCTGTGCCTCAGTTTCCCTAAAGGGGAGATAACCTCCGCCCCCCTTCCTGCCTCTCTCCCCTGGAGTGGAGGCAAAGATACTGATTCTTTCTTGGGGGTGGCAATCCCACCCCTAAGCCAGGGAGCCCTTTCTTTTTCTTCTTCTTTTTTTTTTAATTGAGACTGTCTCCCTCTGCTTGCTGCCCAGGCTGGAGTGCACTGGCACGATCTCGGCTCACTGCAACGTCCGTAGGGAGGCCCTTTCTGCCTCCAGGCCAGCACCCACCACCTCCCAATTCCCCTAGCCCAAGCCAGCGGGCTGCAAAAAAGTGACCTGATAGCCTCTGGAATCAAACAGAACTTAGTTCTTAATCTCAGCGACTTGGAAGGCTGAGGCAGCAGGTCACTTGAGGCCAGGAGTTCAAGACTAGCCTAGGTACAAAGTGAGACCCTGTCTCTTAAAAAAAAGTTTTGCCGGGCGCGGTGGCTCAAGCCTGTAATCCCAGCACTTTGGGAGGCCGAGGCGGGTGGATCACGAGGTCAAGAGATCGAGACCATCCTGGTCAACATGGTGAAACCCCGTCTCTACTAAAAACTACAAAAAATTAGCTGGGCATGGTGGCACGTGCCTGTAATCCCAGCTACTCAGGAGGCTGAGGCAGGAGAATTGCCTGAACCCAGGAGGCAGAGGTTGCGGTGAGCCGAGATCGCGCCATTGCACTCCAGCCTGGGTA